TTCTACAGGCAACATGACCGTGTTTGCTTATATAACATAGGGAGCAAACTGTCCACCTTCCATTGAGCTGGGTGAGGAAGGTGTATGTATCACCCTCTATGTCAACCATTGAGCTGGGTGAGGAGGGTGTGTGTATCACCCTCTATGTCAACCACCAAGTTGTGTGGACGACAGACCAACAATCCAATGTCCAGTTTTCCCCTTTGTTAACCTTCAAAACGGCGAAGGCTTGTTCTGGTTGGCCTACAGAAAATATTATTTCCACTAATATGGCATCGTTACAGCCAGTACCAATCATTATATTAAACTGGTAATAAACCTAATAAATTACCTCGTTTTTCAAATGTTATTATGAACGGGCAGGTAACGTAATCAAATAGTTCCACATTTAAAACATAGTCATCCGTATAGATTAGTTAGTGCAACATTAGGCAATAGGCAAGTCATCTGTATAGATTAGGTAGTGCAATATTAGGCAATAGGCAAGTCATCTGTATAGATTAGGTAGAACAACATTAGGCAATAGGCAAGTCATCTGTATAGATTAGATAGTACAACATTAGGCAATAGGCAAGTCATCTGTATAGATTAGGCAATACAACATTAGGAAATAGGCAAGTCATCTGTATAGATTAGGTAGTACAACACTAGGCAATAGGCAAGCCATCTGTATAGATTAGGCAATACAACACTAGGCAATAGGCAAGCCAACTTGACGTGACAACAACCTGACTATGTGGTGAAAAATGTATTTAGCCTCTTGGTATATGTTCAGACATATTACCCGCTCCTATTTATAGAATGATATAAAATGTTTGGTCCGGCATAGGGGAGTTCCGAGTGGGTCGGTGGGACGACCCACTTTAGGCTCCACCCTTAGGAAGCAGACCAAAAAAAAAATGACTTATTGTGCAAGGTTTCTGAAAGACATTTAAAAATAGTTTCAGCACCGCTAGAAATAAAAAGAAAAAATTGATCTTTCCAGTGACAAAAAAAAAAATAAAAAAAAATAATAATAACACGAATAGAAAAACACACAGACAAAAGCATATATTTTAATTTACTTAACACTTTTTATTGGACACTTACAAATACAAATCAAGTAAAATAAATTAGTTATGATTAAAATTGTGCTTATATGTACACACACGTTAATTTAGAAAATACCCCGCTTGCTATACATTTAGTGGTTTTACACAGTGGAAGTGATGTTTTATGCCTCACCCCCCCCTCCCCCTTCCCAAATAAAACAAGTGGTGTTTGTTTTTGTACACTTTGTTCAAGCAGCTTTTATAGAAAAGAAATCATGGAAATATCATTCACAAATATTGTATTGTCTTAATGATTCTCTGATTCATCTAAACAAAGTATGATTAGTCTGAAGGCTTAGACGGTTTGTCAGTTAAGAAAGGCGTATTTAAGTTTTTAAAACTGATTTTAGTCTTTATATAGTTCAACACTGAAAATTTATTAAAATACATTACTTCCAGTGGCGTCGCTAGGTCGGGTGCCACCCGGTGCGGTAACTCATGGTGTCACCCTCACCAAAGGAAAAATGCATATGATAATTATATATATATATATATATATATATATATATATATATATATATATATATATATATATATATATATATATATATATATATATATATATATATATATATACATGTGTGTGTGTGATAAATATAAGTATATATATGATAGCTTTAAAGGGTTCACAATTAACAGTCAAGATATTTATCTACCGTCCATTATTAATATAGCTGCATGTAGCACTATTTGAATGATAGGTATTGATTTAAACGTGATATTGATTTCTTGTACGCTCCTTGAAAATTCTTTACGCTTGAATTGAATTATTCCGTGTAGCAAAAAATAACCCTTACAATGACTTAAACGTAGTTTCAGTAATCTGCCTGCTGTTGATGATTTTGTGTTGCGGAACTTGTTTTATATTTAATGTAACTAATCTCCAATATAGGGGTCACTCCCCCCCCCCCCCCACCCCTCTCTGCGTACATTACTCATTTACGCATCAAACAATTACAGTCCTTTTTATTTTATAGTATAGAATTCACGCTACATTTGAATAGACTCACAAGAAAAACACAGTCTTGTATTTTACCAGCAAGCAAGAAGGATATAACGGTTCAGTGAACAGAATAATTCCATTTTATTTTTAGAAGTTATAACACGTTAAATGGATATTCTGTATGCCACGTTATGTAGATATCAACTGACTTTGTGAATCTCTATTGCAGTTATATGTAGAATGTATTTAGTGTGAACATTTTAGTTCACTAATTCACTTTGTCTTAAGTATAGGAGCGGTTAGGGTCTGTTTTATTGTTTCTGGGAACTCAACAGGAGCTGAATTGACAACATTGAGCTTGAATTAACAAAATGTCTCTTTAATCAACTCAGATACCTGTTCTCCAGTATATAACACGTATTCTCAGACCACATTTGTCTTTCGCCTCTCCTACCACCACAATTTGCGTTTACGGTCCACCGCTTCCTCCCCGTGTCATTGTATTTGTCCTCCTTATAGACAGCTCCACAACACATTAGCTGCAACTCGACCCAGTCGATTCTCTAATTACACTCGTTGACGTCATAAACATTAACATAGACAGACGTCGTACGGTCACGCTACAGTACACAGACGTCGTACGGTCATGCTACAGTACACAAACGTCGTACGGTCATGCTACAGTACACAAACGTCGTACGGTCATGCTACAGTACACAAATGTCGTACGGTCATACTACAGTACACAGTCGTCGTACGGTCACGCTACAGTACACAGACGTCGTCTGGTCATGCTACAGTACACATACGTCGTACGGTCATGCTACAGTACACATACGTCGTACGGTCATGCTACAGTACACAGACGTCGTACGGTCATGCTACAGTACACAGACGTCGTACGGTCATGCTACAGTACACAGACGTCGTACGGTCATGCTACAGTACACAGACGTCGTACGGTCATGCTACAGTACACAGACGTCGTACGGTCATGCTACAGTACACATACGTCGTACGGTCATGCTACAGTACACAGACGTCGTACGGTCATGCTACAGTACACAGACGTCGTACGGTCATGCTACAGTACACAGACGTCGTACGGTCATGCTACAGTACACAGACGTCGTACGGTCATGCTACAGTACACAGACGTCGTACGGTCATGCTACAGTACACAGACGTCGTACGGTCATGCTACAGTACACAGACGTCGTACGGTCATGCTACAGTACACAGACGTCGTACGGTCATGCTACAGTACACAGACGTCGTACGGTCATGCTACAGTACACATACGTCGTACGGTCATGCTACAGTACACAGACGTCGTACGGTCATGCTACAGTACACAGACGTCGTACGGTCATGCTACAGTACACAGACGTCGTACGGTCATGCTACAGTACACAGACGTCGTACGGTCATGCTACAGTACACAGACGTCGTACGGTCATGCTACAGTACACAGACGTCGTACGGTCATGCTACAGTACACAGACGTCGTACGGTCATGCTACAGTACACAGACGTCGTACGGTCATGCTACAGTACACAGACGTCGTACGGTCATGCTACAGTACACAGACGTCGTACGGTCATGCTACAGTACACAGACGTCGTACGGTCATGCTACAGTACACAGACGTCGTACGGTCATGCTACAGTACACAGACGTCGTACGGTCATGCTACAGTACACAGACGTCGTACGGTCATGCTACAGTACACAGACGTCGTACGGTCATGCTACAGTACACAGACTATTTGCACCACTTGGTTCGACATGCACACCCTAACACATTCTACTTGACGGAAGGTTATCATTTTGGGAAAACCAAGCACTGTAAACCGATATGTCAGACGAACACAGCAGACACAAGAAACACGAAGCTCATTTTATAAAACACGAGAATACAGGATATAACCGGTTCAGTTGAGATTATATACAGGCCCTTTCCATTCCTGTGATTTAGGAGTTTTTGTGGTGTAGGCTTATAACTTATGACTTTATAAACAAATAAAAGTGAATTCGTTGCTACCGATTAGTATAGCTCTGTTTTAACGTAATAAATGTTGATATTCTGTAGGGAAAAAATATATTTTGTTGGGAAGACAAAGTATCGATAGCGTTTTGCAAACAGTAATTTCAAATTGTCATGTTTTTAAAATAACTTCCTAATTTGAAGGTATCTTAGACATTTGTATCTTAGGCTTGGTGGCGGAATATGTAAGATATTACCTACAAGAAATTCGTGACACAAAAATTAATGCGTATTGTTGTTTTTTTTCATCTAAAACTACCACTACATCTTCGGAAAATATATTAATGAGGTAAAGTTAGCAAAGGTTTTTGAAAGAAAACCGGTTAAAGTTTAATGAGTTGCACACGACTATTATTCAAATAATTTTACTTTAATAGTGTATTAATTTATATTTTAGTAACGTAGAATCGGACATTACAATAAACATTGAAATCACTAAAAGAATGTACAGAATGATAAGGATAAGAGTTATTATTAACATTTTATCAACCTTAATTAAGATTGTATATTTAAGCTATTCTATTTTTGAGGTTTTGAACAGTGTTTCTTCCAGACTTTTTTCTCCGGGGGGGCACTTGAAATCTTCGGGGGGCGATAAACTTTCTTTGGGGGGGGGGGGGGGGGCGGACACTGTTAAAAGTATATATTTTCTATATAAATTATATAAATTTCATTTCGTTCGGGGGGGGGGGGGGCGGTAAAAAATTTTCGGAGAGATGCCTGGAAGAAACTCTGGTTTTGAATAAAATGAGATTTGTCGTTAATCCTCATTAAAACAGTTAAAAATTAATTATAGTTATATTATGTTGCTAGAAATTTTCTAATTGCCTAATATTTACATCTTGTTTTACATTCCAGAGCACGAAGAAGTCCTTCTTGTATTTTCCTTATACAATAGAAACAAAATATCTTCATAAAAATGAATGATCACTACACAGAAGACAATAAAACGGTGTTAAATACCGTTAGTATTAATGCTTTAAATAATTCACCAATTGCGTTTCAAGATGGAAAAGTAAACAGTAATAGTAAACAGAATGATGATTACAATGATGAATCTACAATTGATGCCCTACTGTTCGCTGCTGAACATGGGCATTGTTCAACTTTAAAAAAGATAATTGATAGATGGCTTAGTTTAAATTATGTTGTTATACAAGCTAGAGGGAATGCACTACTGTTACCTCCTGAGATTGTTCATGTCAACGTTGCACAACTTTTAAAAAAAGTCGGCTATGATCTTAATGCTGTAGGCAATAATGGATTGAATGCCTTAATGTTGGCTTCTCAGAATGGTCACACCGATGTTGTTGAGCTTTTAATAGACAATGGATGTGATGTAAATGCTTCTAATAACCAAGGAAACAATGCTCTAATGCTGACCTCAGGTAGAGGACATAAGGAAATAGTAAAGCTGTTGCTTATAGAAGGTAGCTATATTAATGCTGTTAACAGCTATGGGTGGAATGCAATAGTCTGGGCTGCCACAAATGGGCACGACAAAGTTGTACAACAGTTAATTAAAGGTGGAGCTAATGTAAGTGCTGATGAAAAGGATGGAAACTGTGCATTAATTCTAGCCTCTAAAAATTGACATGAAACTGTTGTACTACTTTTAATAAAGAGCGGCTGTGCTGTAAATGCTGCTAATAAGAATGGAACCACTGCTCTAATGCTAGCCTCAGGTAGAGGACATGAGGGGACGGCAAAGCTATTGCTTACAGCAGGCAGTAATGTTAATGCTGTCGACAAAGATGAATGGAACGCTTTAATATTTGCTGCCGCAAATGGACATGACAAAGTTGTACAGATGTTAATTAATAGCGGCAGTAATGTTAATGCTGTCGACAAAGATGGATGGAACGCTTTAATATTTGCTGCCGCAAATGGACATGACAAAGTTGTACATCTGTTAATTAATAGCGGCTGTGATGTAAATGCTGTCAATTATAATGGATGGAATACATTTAATCTGGCCTCTCAAAACGGCCATGACAAGATTGCAGGATTATTAATTGAAAGTGGATGTGATGTAAATATTTGTAACAAAACCGGACGAAATTCATTAATGGATGCGTCGAATATTGGGCATAACAATCCTAATATATAAAAGCCCATGTGCGCACTACTCTCTCTCTCTCTCTCTCTCTCTTTCTGTCCGCAAAATATTTGTTTGAGCTATTTTGTTAAGGGGATATGCGCGGAAAAAAATCACAAAATTTCTTGTTTTTCGTCATGATTGGTTTCTTGCACTTTTGGATACTTTGTCCATTTTCGTATAAAGAAAATAATAACTTTAAAGAGAAAAAAATAATATTTTATGTGTTTGAATTACGATTTTTATGACCCTATTAATTAAAAAATAATCAATTTTTCCGAATCTTACTAGCTCTCTATGAAAAGTTTTATATCCGTCATTATATTGTATTTGACATCATTGGAAAGCTGTATTTCTCATGTATCTAATAAACTTAATTTCCTACATATCGGAAACACCCAAAGCTTACAATCGGCTTTGCAGTTTACACAGATATGGTACTTTCCTGACCTAGTTTTCGTTACTTTTGGCTGTTTTTCTCAGTTTGCATGTTTTTAACACTAAAAAGCCTACTACTTTTTACTTTCTCGTATATACGAAGTATAGAGAAAGTCTTGTAATCGTGCAAAAAAAAAAAATCGAGATTTTTGCAAATCTCGACGTTTTGCATCTCACTGATACGGAAAAACATAATTTTGCAATCTTGTCCGTATGTCTGTGTGTCTGTGTGTCTGTGTGTGTGTGTGTGTGTGTGTGTGTGTGTGTGTCCGTGTGTAAACACGATAACTTGAGTACCGTTACAGCTAGGTTGATGAAATTTCATATATAAGTATTTTATCAAAATCGTAGATCCGTTTCAACTTTTGAGCGATTTCCGATAACCGGAAGTGGTACTTTTCCTACTTTGAATTTTTCAAAAGCCTATAACTTGAGTACTATTTCAGATAGATAAATGAAAGTTCATACGTAAGTAAAAGATCTAATTCTCTACCTTCTATTAAATTTTGAGTCATTTCCGTTGACTGGAAGTAGTACTTTACGCTACTTCCGATTTCTCAAAAAACTAATGTAAATTTTAAAAGTAATAATAATATTGCGCACTATTATGCGCTTTTTTATTTCGCGTTCACTTGGTGTGCAATTAATTTGTCTACGAGATTTTATTCTATTTTTAAAACTTTAAGTATTTAAAATGGATTAAAAATCATGTCTATAGCCCGAGTTCCCATCCCCTGTTATTGTATATAAGAATATTCGAGAAAGTTTAGGGGAGATCACTCCCGGTTTATTTATTTATTAAACAATGCCAACCATATTTTCAGTAATTGTTCTTAATGCAAAAATACAACTTTTGTTACGAGGGAATTGTGATTGCTTTCATAGAAAAAAAGTATTTGGTAATTAATATGCAAATTTTGAAACTTTTGAATACTAAAAAGGGTACGATTTTTTAGACCTTGTAAAAATCTTACTAAAAATTATTTCAAAAAGTTGTCGTGACAAAAGTTTTAATATATACTGAAATATAAGCAGTTTAAATTTGATTGCTATAGGTGCATAAATAAAAAAGCCTTAGTATTTTTAAAAGTACCGACAAATTCAAAATGGCGGAGGTTTTTTTGGGTTTCCATGACAACCAAAATTGTTCTCGACCTTTTTTTTTTTGCTGTTTAACACTTACTTTTATATGCCAAATATGATAAAAGTATTCAAAAGGCTTTAGATCTTAAACTGTAAAAAATTGAAAAAAATAGCATATCCCCTTAAGTTATTTCCCTTGCATTGTAAAATTCTGTCCCTTCTGTAAGAGATATAGATTTAATAAAGGGATTTTCCTGTAGTTAGCTTTTACTTAAAGAGCATTTAACTTTTTTTAAAAAAATAAGTAAATGGTTATTCTGAGTGAAAACGATATAGATCTATAAGATAAAGGTTGAGAAACTCGATATTACTGTTGGACATTGTGATTTATTTAAAAAAAAAATGTTTTTACTTTCTGGTATATACGTAGTATAGAGAAAGTATTGTAATCGTGCAAAAAAAAAAATCGAGATTTTTACAAATCTCGACGTTTTACACCTCACTGATACGGAAAAACATAATTTTGCAATCTTGTCCGTATGTCTCTGTGTGTGTGTGTGTGTCTGTGTGTCTGTGTGTCTGTGTGTCCGTGTGTAAACACGATAACTTGAGTACCGTTACAGCTAGGTTGATGAAATTTCATATATAAGTATTATATCAAAATCGTAGATCCGTATCAACTTTTGAGCGATTTCCGACAACCGGAAGTGGTACTTTTTCTACTTTGAATTTTTCAAAAGCCTATAACTTGAGTACTATTTCAGATAGATAAATGAAATTTCACATGTTAGTAAAAGATCTAATTCTCTACCTTCTGTTAAATTTTGAGTAATTTCCGTTGAACGGAAGTAGTAATTTACGCTACTTCCGATTTCTCAAAAAACTAATGTAAATTTTTAAAGTACTAATAATATTGCGCACTATTACGCATATTTGGTTTTGGTGCTAGCTTAGTGCGCATTTTTTTTTCTACTAGATTTTATTCTATTTTTAAAAGTTTAAGTAAACAAAAATCATGTCTATATTCCGAGTTGACATCCCACGTAGTGTTATATTAGAATATTCGAGAAAGTTTAGGGGAGATCACTCCCGGTTTTTTTACCTGTTTTAAATTCTTGTTTTATTTTGAAAGTTCACTAAATTAATTCGCTTGAGTTTTATAAAATTGTGTATACAAAAGAAGTAAAATAAAGGGTCTCCCTACAATAACATTACAGAAAATTGCCTCACAATAATCCTAAAAATACCAATTTTTTTTTTAATTTTAATTTGTCCCTTTTCAAAGGGAGCCAAAATTTGTCATTACAAATCAATTAAAATGCTAGTTATATCAGTACTACCTTTATAAAATAATTCATCTTAAAATAGTGCTAAAGTTTATATTTTTCAGATTTAAAACATTGTATTAAATGTGTTTATCAAAAAAATATAAACTATACTTTACTTCAGTTGGCATTACATTTTTTTTACTAACTTCATACAATAATATATTTGTTTTGGCAAATTGTACTAATTACTTATTTATTTATTTTTAGATATCATATTTTATAAGTTGTATCCCTTATTTTGTTTTCCCCTAATACATAGGGGAAGTAATACATTTTGTCTAGAGTGACTATGATGCTACTCAACTTATTTTCTAAACACGACACACTGACAAGACAAACATGACATTCAGTCAGTGGCGTAGGCAGAGGTTGGGGGGGGGGGATGGGTTACATAATACCACTGTTCCTTACTTAAATCTATTTCTGAATCAGTATATATGTAAAATTGTATATGTATGTTTAGAACCATCATCTAAAAACCACACTTCACCACCTAAAACGGGACACACCTAGGTATACGCTGGGTAGGATAACTGACCTAAGGTGACCGGACAGAGGTGAATGAAGTTGACCCCTTCTCCCAATCCACACAAAGCTGATCTGTTGGTACATTTGGGGAACAGCGTAATGACGTACCAAAGTATCTTGCTGCCAGAATAATAGCTTTTGAAACAGGTAAAACTATTTAAATATTATTTTTGCAATTACCAGTAAATAGGTGTGTGTGTGCAATTCATTGATCCAACCCATACGTTATCATTATTTAAAAAAAATATCTTTAAAGAACACCAAAAACATTAGCTAATTAGAAAATGTGTGATCTCAACTGTAAGTCCAATGGTTTAGATCAGGGGTCGACAACCTTTTGAAGCGGAAGAGCCAAAAGTTCCAATTTTCAACATTTCCCTGGTTTAAAAGAGCCACTAACATTTTTTTTTCAAATATTTTATTTTTTTATTGAGATTATTAGTATTTTTTCAAGGAGCTGGAGAGCCGCATCTTGATATCAAAAGAGCCACATGCGGCTCGCGAGCCGCAGGTTGCCGACACATGGATTAGTTACATGTAGGCTATTATTTAAAATCTTCCACGTATTGGGATTACGTTTAATAAAAACTGAAAAGCATGCTTTTATACCAACTCTAATTTAAAAAACTTAAATTATACCGTAAGATTTTAGCATTTATGATGACAATATATTAAATTCTGATTGTAGACAAATTATGTTTGTAAAAACGAATAAAGTAAAGTTTTTTACTACTTACTAAAGTAATTAGTGATATGTTTTTATATTTGCAATTAAATTTGTAGAAATATACATATTTATATTAAGAGAGTGATTATTTCCCCTAGTTCGTTTATCTTAATCATTATTTCAAATTGTTTTTTAAAAGGATTACAAAAAGATTGTGTTGCGTTCATTGTGTGTGTCTTTTTTTGGTTTATTTATTTAGAGTGATAAATTATTTTATTTTGTCGGCCAACATTGTGTTTTTTTCTTATTTCTTCAGAGTACTTTCAGAGTACTTTCAATTTATTTTACATCTTAGTAAAGCCATTATATATATATATATATATATATATATATATATATATATATATATATATATATATATATATATATATATATATATATATATATATGTAATGCTGGAAAAAATTTGAACCCTCCCCTCCATGAGACGATCCTGGCTACGCCATTGCATTCAGTGGACGTATTGAAGTTGTTTCACTACTGGCCTCTATGTCCTAATGTGACTCGGATCCTAACCTTTGTATGCTGTCCACTTTATTCTGTCTTTCCCTTGTGAAGTTTTTTTTTTTTTGTTTTTATACAATTTTTATAAATGGAGACGACTTTCAAAAGAAAAAAAAAATTAAATGCAAACTTGACCTTTTAAAAAAAAGTGTGTTAATATTATTTAATTAAAATGTATTTTACAACGTTACACATTATTTTTATATTAAAGCTTAATCCTTAAATATGATAAAAATATTAAAGTAATGTGGTTTAATTATCGAGACGTAAATTTTGGATCCATATAAAATGGGACATATATTTTAATTAAGCTTCCACGGACCCTGTTAATTGTTCAAGTCATTAAGATTGTATAGTGACAATTAATATACCATAACGAGAAAAATGTTAATAAAATATCCTTATTGTCATATCCGCACCATGTGACATCATCCCTGGCCACAACATCAAAGATCAAAATTACCAACTTTTAAAAACATGTTTGTATAAAATAAAAACAAAATGGACAGATGAGAAACCTGGACAATATACCAACCTCGCGCTTTATATAACAACCTTCCCTAACCTTCATACACGAAGAACAACATCTGCTAATTACGTGTATTGTTTATTTCGGAAGGGGAGGGGGTGAGGCGAGAATATATTTTAACCAGCATCGGTACCCAGGGAAATGTAAACTCACCACATTATCTTTAGTAAATAAATGATAACTGAAGGACGCATGCCACTTTGGCTCCCAGCAACATGCATGCTGTACATAACATTGTCATCAACATTACATTTACTTTGGGATCCAGAAATAACAAAAAATGTGCACTACTTAAACAACGATTCTTGAGTCATGGAAAAAAAAAACAAGAAAGAAGATCCCTCGAACGTATCCTCAGAATAAAGTGGGACGACAAAGTCCCTAACAAGGAAATACGACGGAGAACAAGAATAAACGATATTGTTTCAGAAGTTCGAATGAGGAGATGGAGATGGCTGGGCCATGTCCTACGCATGAACAAAAGAAGGCTCCCAAACATGGTGCTGAAGTGGACTCCGCCTGGAAAGCGAAAGAGAGGAAGGCCACTGGGAACATGAGAGAGATGGAAGAGGAAGTGCAGACTACTGGCAAGACCTAGCATGGATTAAAGTAGCTCGCCCAAGATAGAGTGGAATGGCTGAGATTTGTTGCTGCCTTATACTCCACTGGGAGTGATGAGGATTAAGTAAGTAAGTAAACAACGATTTTTATAATAAAGCTAATGTCTCTTAATTCTAAGTAAAATATGGTACACGTTGCATTTTCTTTTTACCTATAATCTAGTACAAAAGTGTTTACCTACTGTACAATTGCATACATTATATGAGTAGGTTAAAAACACATTGAATGACGTAACCAGGTAGTGTGAGACCTGGTGCCGTGTTTCATGGTGTGACCCCATCCCCAGGGTGCCGTGGTTCATGGTGTTACCCCATCCCCAGTGTGCCGTGGTTCATGGTGGTACTCCATCACCAGGGTGCCGTGGTTCATGGTGTTACCCCATCCCTAGGGTGCCGTGGTTCATGGTGTTACCCCATCCCTAGGGTGCCGTGGTTCATGGTGTTAACCCATCCCTAGGGTGCCGTGGTTCATGGTGTTACCCCATCCCTAGGGTGCCGTGGTTCATGGTGTTACCCCATCCCCAGGGTGCCGTGGTTCATGGTGTTACCCCATCCCTAGGGTGCCGTGGTTCATGGTGTTACCCCATCCCCAGGGTGCCGTGGTTCATGGTGTTACCCCATCCCCAGGGTGCCGTGGTTTATGGTGTTACCCCATCCCCAGGGTGCCGTGGTTCATGGTGTTACCCCATCCCCAGTGTGCCGTGGTTCATGGTGGTACTCCATCACCAGGGTGCCGTGGTTCATGGTGTTACCCCATCCCTAGGGTGCCGTGGTTCATGGTGTTACCCCATCCCTAGGGTGAAGTGGTTCATGGTGTTACCCCATCCCTAGGGTGCCGTGGTTCATGGTGTTACCCCATCCCCAGGGTGCCGTGGTTCATGGTGTTACCCCATCCCTAGGGTGCCGTGGTTCATGGTGTTACCCCATCCCCAGGGTGCCGTGGTTCATGGTATTACCCCATCCCCAGGGTGCCGTGGTTCATGGTGTTACCCCATCCCCAGGGTGCCGTGGTTCATGGTGTTACCCCATCCCCAGGGTGCCGTGGTTCATGGTGGTACTCCATCCCCAGGGTGCCGTGGTTCATGGTGTTACCCCATCCCTAGGGTGCCGTGGTTCATGGTGTTACCCCATCCCCAGGGTGCCGTGGTTTATGGTGTTACCTTATCCCCAGGCATGTGTTACCTGTTGACTTAGATACAGACTGCTCTTACTGAGAAGGTAGGTAATGCCGGGTTACATTGTCTTGTGTCCACATGTACTTGGTAACGTTCTATTTTTAAACACATTCAACCAGCCATTATTTATTTTATTGTTAGAAATGTTCACAACACTACGTCATAAACCTCACGATGTGTCTATGAAAGGAGATATCATATAACTTAAAACTAATGAAGACGAAACCACACACGACTAAAATTATGTGCGCTTAAAACCTAATCAGTAGCTTATGATCTCATAAAGATATTTATCTGCTAAACCGAAAAGTCTCGAGTTCGAACCCTCGGGCAGATGAGGCTCGTTAGCTGGGGACAGCCACTCTTCTAGGAGAGACAACTCCAAAATTAAACAACTGCTGCCTTGTAGTTTGTTCTTGGTTAGACAAAGGCTATGGAAGCAAATCCAAAAAGAAAAGCAGGCTGAAATCGGAGTCAATGGCCTCAATGGCGCATAACCAGTTGACACGTAACGCTTAATTGTGTTGGAGGTGTAGTCGAGTCGGCAAAAAGCTCATGGTTGATAAATTCGAACAAAGTCTCGAGTTCAAACCCACTGGCAGATAAATCTCGATCCCCTTCAACACTAATAATTAAGAACGAAGAAGAAGAGGAGTTGGTGTCGTAGTTATGGTGTAACGAGTTTGGTGATAATGCATCACAACAACGATGTAATACGGAGGTGGTGTCATAGTTATGGTGTAACGAGTTTGGTGATAAGGTATCACAACAACGATGTAATACGGAGGTGGTGTCGTAGTTATGGTGTAGCGAGTTTGGTGATAAGGTATCACAACAACGATGTAATACGGAGGTGGTGTCGTAGTTATGGTGTAACGAGTTTGGCGATAAGGTATCACAACAACGATGTAATACGGAGGTGGTGTCGTAGTTATGGTGTAACGAGTTTGGTGATAAGGTATCACAACAACGATGTAATACGGAGGTGGTGTCGTAGTTATGGTTTAACGAGTTTGGTGATAAGGTATCGGAGAGTGATTGGCTACAGTTTTGTAGTGACATGCTACGGTGAGACTTTGTTCGTTGGGAGTAGAACTTGAAGAGGTGAGGTGTTATTGTAGTGTTGAAACGTTGACTAGTCTTGAGTAATAGAGGGTAGTGTAATCGTAAGTTGAGAGTTGTGTAATCGTAAGTTGAGAGTATCGAGTTGTTCGTATATCTTAGATGGCATACGTTTTATTTTAGTAATCGATATATGAGTAATCGTGAGCTGAGTGTATTTGGTGCATAGTATACATTACTTGAAAAGTGTTTTCGAGTAATTTTTGTTCGTGAATATCGAGTAGTCGAGTTAAACGATGAATATAGTTAGTCGACGTTATTGGAAGTTTGAGTGTCTGATGGAATATCCTCACTAAGATGGCTCTTAAGTAGGCGTTGTCTTAATAGAAATAGTTACGGAGATATTAACAGCACGCACATTGCATCCACTGAACAAGAGAGTAATCGAATTCATTTTTTTAATTGTCCCCAATCAGAAGGGATCCAAAATTTTAAGAGTATTTGCTATTCCTATCACTGTAATGTTAATAAAGATAATTAATATTTATTCTAAAACTAAACTCAAACAATTTTGGGGTGCAAAATTTAAAAAAATAGAAATATTTAACAAAATTTACAAACAATAAGCAACATTCTACTGTTTTCAGATTTATATAAATTTAAAAATTAAGAATTTAAAAAAAAATTGAATTATGATAACGTTTTTTTCTTAAATTACAATCAAAAATGTACAAAAGACATTTCAATTACATTAATTCCCCTGCAGATAAGAACAAACAAAGAAAATAAAATAAAATCTACATGGGAGGTAATTTCTTTTTGTCACAGCCTCCGAGAAATAACTCGCTTTTTGTACCATCCCATTTTCTTTAACGTTTCGTTGGAAAGGAGACCATACATTAAAAAAGAATGTTTGTAAGCAGTAGTTAATTAAAATGTATTTTAAAATGACACATCCGTTTTGTATTAGGGCTCAACCTTCAAAGTTGAATAGCATGCTATACAATTTAGGTCACAATTATTAAAAAAAATACATTTCGGATCACTAATAAATGGAGCAAGTATTTAAAATGAGCTACTACAAACGTTGTGTACCGGTACAGGCATTACCATCGTATAATGACTTTTCATAATGCTATAAAGAGAAAAAACGTTAATGAAAGATCTTTATTGTCATATCCGCACACTGTGACATCAACCCTGACAACAACACCAAAACACAAAGTTACTAATTTAAAAAAAAAAAAACATGTTTATCTATCTATCTATATATATAAAAAGCAATGTATGTCTGTGTGTGTGTCTGTGTGTCCTTTATGCATTACTACACCTCTCATCACATCGCCGTGAAACTTTGGGAAGTTGTTGAGAATATTCCTGGGGAGGTTTCTGCGAAAAAAAATATTCAAATTCGCAGGGGTGGCGCCCCGGCAGGGCGCGATTTGTTTTTCTCTATATACGGTATATAAAAATAAAAGTCTATTTTGATTTCCCACTGTTCATCCGATAGCTATGAGACTTTGGGGAATTCATTATACCACTCTAGGGAAGGGTTCTGTAAAAAAATAATTTTTAATTTCGCAAGGGCGGCGCCACGGGAGGGTCAGATTTTTCTCTATTTACGGTATATAAAAAGAATAAAAGTGAATTGCAGTGACACCGTTTATCCGATAGGCATGAGACTTTGGGGAGTTCATTATAAAACTCTAGGGAAGAGTTCTGTAAACAATAATTTTTAATTTCGCAAGGGCGGCGCCACGGGAGTGTGCGATTTTTCTCTATATACGGTTTATAAAATAAGTCGATTTTGGTGTGACACCGTTATCCGATAGCCATGAGACTTTGGGGGAGTTGATTAGAACAATTCAGGGAAGGGTTCTGTAAAAAAAAAACCTTTATTAATTTCGCAAGGGCGGCGCCACGGGCGGCTGCGATTTTTCTCTATATACGGTTTATAAAATTTCGTTTTTTTTTTTTTCGTTTTCACACCGTTCATCCGTGTACCATGAAACTTTGGGGAGATGATTAGATCACTCAAGGGTAGGGTTCTGTAAAAAATATTGTTTAATATTGCAAGGGCGGCGCACCACCGGGAGGGGGAGCGATTTTTTTTCTCTATATACGGTATATAAAAAACAAAACTTGGATGCGGTTCATCCGAGTACCATGAAACTTTAGGAAGTAGATGAGAATACTCCCGAGAATATTTCTGCGAAAAAGAAAACTAAAGTTTCTTACGGGCGGCGCCATATAGGGTACAACTTTCGTCAATACATGGTTTGGCGCCCAGAGTTTTAGAGCGACTAAGTTGGCACTTGGCATCCGTTAATCGAGCGTCCTGTATAGCGAGTAAGGGGTACTACTATATTCAGCGGTAAAACTACAACAGGCTTCTATAAATAACTTTGTAACGCGAGGAAATCCTGTACAGTTTCGTCACCTTGCGAAAGATGAAAAAATAACTGTTTGAATATGATGAACCTACTGTAGAGTTTCGTCACTTTGCGAATGATGCAATAAGCATCTATTATTAGACGATCCAGGCCGAAATTGAGACCGAGCATCTAATAATAGACCATTAGTAACGCTAGCATATTGCATCAGTCGAACTGATGTTTAAAACACATCAAATAATTTTTGTATGTGTTAAAGAAAAAAATCCTGTTCATTTGTGTCACTTTAGCGAATGACGAAATCGGCATCATTGTTTACAGGATGCTATTTGGCACGCTGGGTTATCC